CCGCAAACGTCCGTGCCGTATAGCGTGAATAACCCTGTATACATTCTTAGCCAGAAGAAGCGAGCGTGAATTCAACCAAAAGAAGACCGTAAAGAATTTGCATTTGATTGTCGACTACGGTAACAATAATTTTCATTGTTGTATAACTTTACTATTTCATCATATAGTAGCTCCTAAACATGGCAATAGACTTCCACTGGTTAGCGACAAACATGCAAAACTGCAAAGGACTCAAGTTCAAAATACTAAATACATAAGAAGTTGGGTCTGTAAGGTCTAACTCGGATTGCATTTAGCAACTAGTCTATTTACGGTTGTAAGACGTCCATTATATCAAGGAGCTGGAATCAAAACAGTAAGGTAATATGATATATGGATGCTTAAGCTGATGAATGTGTCAGAGAGAAGCAAAGTTTCGAAAAGCATGAAAACCTTTTCTAAACTTGTCCTATAGTAGATACTGATGAAACATATTCGTGTTATTTCAAGTAATGACAACCATTTTATAAAGGTTTACGATTATCCCATACCGGCTGTTCACATCTTTTTGTAATAGAAAAACGAAAGATTTGAATTTGTGTCAATCTTCTCTATATAATCCGTACTTCAGGCTGGAGATATTGTATTCACATATCTGAAAGTCACCGATTTATATACACAATTTTTAAAGTTGAATTTACGTACATCTTGATGATGATTAGTGCTATATAAATCAGCTACTCTAACTCATAAGATGCGTAAACAACAGCTTAAAAAAATAAATGAAGTAGAGTTAATGTTAGTAAAGAATGAAACAAGGAAAAAAATGTGCAATGCTAGGGTGCTAAGCTAACACTTGGTTTCCAGTCCCCCATGTCAAGACATGGAGAACCAGAAGCAGGAATGGGCAGTGTACTTACGTCCGGTGAGAGGGTGCATCAAAGTTGGGTGCGTGTTGGTTGAGTTAGCAGCTTGTTGTTTGGGCTTGCTAACCTTGGTGTTACTTTTAGCAAACTCCAGTCGGATGGTCTGTGGCATGTCGGGGTCAAACCGGACGCCCTGCTGCAAAATATTGCCCACAAACAATGTGATTGGTGATATCAAAATGCTAGTTATACTAAGGAGAGGTTAACGGACTGGTCAGTGAGTCACCTACTTTGGATTAACTTGGAGCAGGATTAAATTAGATAGGAAATTCTATCTACAGCAAGGGAAACCAAGGGAGGTTTAAACCTGCAGTGATTGCCAAAGAAATACTCATTATTAAAAAGATATACATACCAGAGAAACTGAAATATTGGGTCATTCAAGAAATGCTTTATTGAGACAATATCATGAAGAAAGCAGCTCTACATTAGTGACAATTGCAATGAAATGAATTATAGATTGTATTGGTTTCCATCTCGGAGCCCATACTTTCAGCATTGCAAGAACTAAAGGAAAAAACTTTTTGTAAAAAGTGGAACTACTTCTAGTAGTTCAGTAGTATCAGTCGGTATTATTTTGCCTGGAAAACGTCATCGGTTTAACCGTTCTCTCAATCGAAGGCTTAACAGGGAATTTTGAAAGAGATTACAATGTCTCTTGACTTTCAGCTGTTCACACGTAGATCCTCTTTTCTGGTACACATAAAAGTATATGCTTATTATTGGTAATGAATTTTCATGTATACGCCAATTAAAAATTACATGAAATAAAAATTAGCAGATCATTTTTTTATTTTCATTTTTCTGGCATTAATATCATCGAAAAACAATTCATTTTTATAATTAATATTTTAAACAATTAATGAAACTTAAGATTGCTTTGATAGCTTTCCTGCATTTAGAGCAATATTACGACAATACATTTTTCCAGGTTCCAGTCAATAGCCAAATGAGTGAGGCATTGTGGAGTGAAACCTTCAACACGTGAATAAAACGATTGAGGATGGCGCTGGAGTGATCCAAGTAGAAAGCTCTGGGGAAAGCATAATCTTTGTGTAGCCGGCGTCTATAGATATCGGAAAAACATAGGAAGTACTGGAAGCAGAGACCGCCGCTGTTTAGCGCTAAGCCGTTTATAAGCAGTTGACAATAAGTACGCTAACAACCAACTACCACAACTAAGCAGAAAACAAATAAAGATGATTATCGCCTTTATAGCTCAACACGCCATCGGCAGAAAACATATACTTAGGATGCGGCTGTCAGACCAGCCTTCATGTAGAGGATGCGGAAAAATATATTGTAATTTTATAAAAGTAGCTCTACACGCTCTAGTAGTCTCTACACGCACACAGCCGTCCGAAAACGTTCCATTAGGATGGTCGTCTGAATACAATAGTGTGTAGTCTGTGCGCCGTTCTTGTGTATATAATAGTGTGTAACCTGTGGGCCGGTGTCTATTGGATGCGTTTTCGTCGCGTTGACGAACTCTGTAGGGACTAAAACGCATCCAAAAGGCCACTGGGCTTGAGGTTTCAGTTTACTTGGCCAAAACTACCATAAATTATCATTTTAAGTGGAGATTTTAATGTTAATTATTCTTGTAATAGAGTGCAACATTTAATGTAATTTCTTGAATCATAGTTCCAATGAAAGATGTTGAATAATTTTGAACAAGCTACAATATAGAGAGATAAAATCTAGTGTCACAATTGTCACAACAACAAAAAAGCGTCCCGTTACGCACATTTTTTTTATATTAGTGGATTTTCGTATTTATTGTAGGGGATTGCGTAAGTTTTTATGCTAAATGATTACAGAATATTTATTGTGCAAAAGTTCTGATTGGGCTCAACGCTCAAAACTGAATATTAATTAATAAGCATTTTTTATTTCGCTTGGAAATTTGAGGACATTTGTAACGGATCAGTTTTTTAACAAGGAAAACGAGTTACAATTTGATGTGGTAAGACTTGAAGGGCACTGAGAACAACGTAAACATACTTAACCAAAATGCAGCTAACTTATTTACTGCCCACTGAACTTCTGTTTTGATGAAAAACAACAGTTGCGAATGAACTATAAAAACATTACGTCGTCTCTAATTTTGATGTTAGAATCGTCACTAGTTTCTTAGAAGTATGAATTAAGTCAATTTTCGAAAGATCTGTTTAACCTATCTTTTAGTTTGCAAAAATATAAAAAAATGTATGTAAGTGTATAGATATTGTTTTACTCTATGTACAAGTGAATCCAAAACCTAGATAAAAAATTAATGGTTAATAGCACAATGTGTCCTGAGAAAATAGCGTAAAATATTGCTTTGACACTTTCCTGAAAGTCGATTTTTATGATGTAGCAGTAGGTTTATTAAATTAAAGCAGGCTATATTTTTCGTTTTTACTTCTGCTCACGGAAAGCGAATAACGACTTAATAGGGGTCATAATTTATTCCAGACTTAAGGGCTTTTTCCTTTGTCTTAAGCTCTTTTGATGAAATTTCATAAACTTCGTGTGTTGTTTATTCCTAAAATGCTTCTCGTATTCAAATTTAGCTCGTGTATAACATTTCTGCGATTTTGCTTATGCAATAATTTAGCTTGACATCATAGAAATAAGGTTGTATAAATCATACAGTGGACTAAAATATGTTAATATGAAAAAAACATTTTTCGAGTATATATTTTAGCACTAAATAGTACACTTTCGGTTCCTCTAGTAATGCACTACATTGATTGGTCGCGTAAATTGACTAAATTACTGACTTTAAGCAAGAGGTTTTATTACCGTATTGCACTGGTGTTGATCCATCAGGTCGAAAACTTCTCATCGACTAAAAGATTTTATTTAAATTTGCAGATAAACAGTATTTCGATTGTACGCACAATTAGTTCTGTTCTTAGACTGAACTTTCCTAAAACTCCTCTGACACTAAAGTAAGAACATAGTTGGGAAGAAAAGATTCATCTTCAACCCTTGATTACTAAATACAACGTTCTCTGCATGCTGCTAAGCACGGCTCCAATGTATTCTTGCCAAATAGTTTTCCATTCATAGTCTGCGACAATTTAAACTTTTCCTTTTGTATCTGCAAAGCAATTTCTTGCTTTGCCTGTTGCAATTTATCACATCCTGCAAGTCCTCTATTTGAATTAACTGTGAGGTATAGAAAACAATTTTTAAAACAAAAACAAATATACTGATGAATATGAACTACCGAAATCGGTAGTTCATATTCATCGGTATTTGGCGCATTCGCTTTGACGGTTTAGAAAGATCCCAGGTAAGCAATACCGTGAAAAGCGTGACTACTGAATAAAATTGAAGATTTTTTAAATGTATCAATTCCTTGAAAAAAAAGTTACGACAGATGTTTACGGAACAAGCTATATCTAAAGAATGGTTCTAAATTCAAAACCCTAACTTAACAGGTAATTAGGCAAAAGGTCCAGCTAACGGTTGAAATGCAGACAGTCGCTATGAAAACCGCTATTATCAGTTGGTCCACGTGACTCGAGGTGTACGGTCAGCGTGCTACGTTCGCGAAGTGCTTTGTTGGTTAGGAGTGCTCAGAGTGGTTTTAGTGTGACCACGTGTCTTGCTTAGTTGTACCATTGTGCTTGTCAGCGCGATTCTATAATTTAGTGCTGTGTATACACGGCTGATTTTCTATGGTGTTGCAGGTTTGGGGAAACCGCATGGCGCCGCTCACAGCCGAGGAGGTTGTGAGAAGGTTTGAGGCACTGGAGGCCACCTTAGAGGAGCTTAAGTGCTCCAATGGGAAGGTGGCTTACTGGATGGAACGTGCAGAAAGAGCTGAAAAGCTCTTGAAGCCCAGTTGCCAGGAACCAGCCAGTTAGGAGTCCGGCAGTGAGAGCGAGGCGGCCGAGGGACCCGCTGAGGCGGCAGCTCCCCCGGTAGCCCCCAAGGAGGGCCAGGGCCCGGTAACGGACTCTTCCGACGGCGAGGGTTTTGAAACCCAAAGTCGCCGACGGAAGAGAAAGCGGACCCAGCCCATGTCCTCCAGCGAGGAGGAAAGTAATAAGATTGACTCTTTGTCCACAGGAGTCAACAAGAGAGACCCCAGAAGAGCAGCCCAGCCAAGGACGACCCAGACGGAAGACCAACAACAAGATAAGGAAAAGCAGGCCACCCCTGCCGCCCAGCAGCAACCGGAAAGGAGGGCAAAGATTCCTCCAATTGTCCTCCGTCAAAAAGACAAGTACGACGAAATAACCAAGCGGCTCAATGATGAAAGAGTAAGCTATGGCTGCGGCGTGATAACGAAGGAGGGTGTCAGAACGCACCCTCCAACAATAGAAGACTACAGGGCAATGATTCGGGTACTGGACAAACACAATTACCAGTACCACACATACCAGCTTGAGGAGGAAAAGCAGCTCCGAGTAGTTATACGAGGAGTGGTAGAATCATGGACAGAGCCCAAAATCAGGGAGGAACTCAGCAACCAAGGGTTCCACCCTACCACAATTGTCAGGTGGCGGAAAAATGGCAACCCAATTGCAGTAGTCCTGGTGCTGCTGCCAAAAACGGAGAAGGCCATCTTCGAAATAAGGAGCCTTGGGAACTTGCGAGTCAGAGTCGAGTCCCAGCATGCGAAAAGTCAAACAACGCAGTGCTTCAGATGCCAACTCTTTGGGCACGGTCAGTCCAAATGCACAGCGGCTGCCAAGTGCGTAAAGTGTGCAGGAGCGCACGAAACTAGGGAGTGTCAAATCCCCAAAAAAAGGGCTGCAAGATGTGCCAATTTTGGAGGTGCCCATCCAGCCTCCTACTCAGGATGCCCTGCGAAACAAGCGCAGAAACAAGAAAAGAAACTGGCAACACCCACAACACGCAGGGCAATCCAAACAGCCAAGCCGCAAGTCATTAGTCAAATGCCGCAAGCCGCCACCAGCTACAGCGCCGCAGCCAAAAAGAACCTGCCGCCCCAACAAGCCCCCCAACGTCAACAAGGGGGCAAAACCGGCCATGAACAGCTGGCCCAAACCATTCAGGCCATGCAAGCACAGATGCAGACTTTCATGGCCACGATGCAAGCCCAGATGATTGCATTAATGCGCAGT